CCCTAAAGCAGTGGTTCTTAACCACATTCTTAACCTTTCAGGAGGAGTTAGATCAAAACGATTTTCATAACCTGTCATTTGCCTTTTTCTGTCTTGATCTCTCAAGTTTCCAGATGCTATATGACAAGTGACATTGCAACAGATTGAATGCAGAAGCAGATCAAACCAGGCAACAAAGACCTAAACCTGAAATACTGAGTCATATATTTTTATATGTAAAAACAGAAAATGATTCCAGTCTCCTTACTAATTTTGTTTTATAAAAACATTCTCATTAAAAATGTTATTTATGTTTACATATGATGGTTTCTGGTTTTTAAAGGAATTTTTACAGTTTTGACTTTGAATGCATTAAATACAAATAGATGTAACACATAAACAAAAGCTCTTTGGAATTCTCAATAATTTTTATCAGTATAAACCTTTGGTCCTGAGACCAAAAGGTTTGAGAATTTTTGTAAAGAAAAAAGGACATAAAACGCAGTAGTAGTAAGAATGAAATGGAAAAGATTAAATAAAAGATATTGCAGAGACAGAATCAATAGGAATTGGACAACTGATAAATATAGGGGTCAGATGGGGAAATAGAAAAAGTAGAATCCAAGAGTTCAGCCCAAATGACTTAGAAGAATGACAAATTGAGAGATAAGGAAATAGAAAAGATCAGGAAGTTTGGGGGTGTCAAGAATTCAGTTTTGACACAAATGAAATGCCAGCCAAGTAGAGAGATGACATGTAAGAAAATACAATACATAAGGTCTTAAAGATCTAGTTTGATGGTCATGTGGATAGGAAAAACCAGCTTGTTCTGGTATCTTACATAACTGAGCATCATCACTTCAGGCAAAAAAGATACACATAAGCATTACCATAAATCTTGGATCACTTGTCCCAATTCCTTGGTAGAAGGTTGTTGTAGTTTGTTCTGAAAACCTCTCTTAAATTGACAATTCTGGAAACCTTCTTTCTGGATTACATTTATCTTTACTAAGTGCTTTTTTATATTTTCTCAGTCTTGGTTAAATTGTTACAGACAATTAGCAATTTCTAAGAGGCACAGCTGTAGGGGAATCGGACTGAAAGAAGACCTCATTCTCATTAGTCACTTTCTCTGGAATTCATTTTCTTCAGTTTATCAAATAGAATCTGCAGGGTTAGTCTATTAGGCTTCTTCAGATCTAAAATTTTATGAAACAGCTATTAACACCCTTATGAGCAAACACATATACCGCAACCTCCAAAAGAGTTACAGAACCAACTTAGATATTAACTAGCAATATTTCTCAACTGTCTCTGTCATTTCTATATAGTAGGAAAGTCTTAAATTTGTTTTAAAAGCCATCTCTTCTGAACTTTGAGAGGTCCCAAATCCTAGTATTTTGTCAAAATATTTGACTTTACTTGACTGGTAGAGTTGTCAACTCTGCAAGTTTTCAGGATATTCTTATTTTATACCCCCACCTCCACGTAACCATCACCTTTCCAGGCTAAAGAGTTCTAGGATTGTTTTGGTCCACCTTAAAAACCTCTCCATCCCCTGATCCTTTAAATTGTCAATTTCTAGATTTTCTTCACTATTAGGTCTTAAAGTCAAGGGATTAAAGATGAATTATTATAGGCAGAATATTATTTTAGGGGAAAAAAAAAAGCCTTTCACTTTCCTGGGCTTTTTGGTGGTAAAGTATTAGGTTACTATTTTCACGGAATTGTTTACAGAGTTATAGTGCATAGTAGTGCTTCTCTTTCATTTTATTAGCAAAAGAACTCTTTTTCCCAATGAAATTTCATATAATACCTTATAATACCAAATGGGCCATACAGTCCAGTGCTCTGATGGAGGTTCGTAAAGGTCTGAAGCTCCACAGACTCAGTCAGCCTTTGTCCTTCCTTCACATCCCATCCAACAAAGATCCTTTATGGTGCTTCCTATAGGCAACGTGGAGTACACCATGAAAACCATCCCTTTATAGCATCTTTAAATGTTAAAGATGCCAATAAAGAGCTTCAAATGAAATAAATCCATTACTTCAGAAGGCCTCTTTACTGCAGCTTCAATATAAAATCCATTTTTTTCAATGTAGTCAAACATAAAACTGTTCACAGATGCATCTTAGGAAAACCACCTTATTTTAAGCAATCAAGGAGTGAATATACAACATCAAGTTATTACATCTACTGTATATCAGGTGGAATAATTAATAATTCCTCCTATGGTAGATGTCAATATAGTATATCAAAGACACATTAGCAGTAAAATAGATCGATTATTTTTTATTGCACATTTGCTTACAAATTTACTGTTTTCGGTAGAGCTAAATCTCAAGTATTAAGTTAATTTCAGCCATATTTCCATCAACTGAATTACAGCAGTGACTTGCCTCTATGTCCCCCTACGATTATGTTTCAGAAACTAGAAGATTAACCTTCCCAATCTGTCTAGTTTACTAGAGCACACATTTAACATTTGTTTTTAAAAATTTTAACCACTCAAAAACAAATAGCATACTGTAAAGAAAACAATGTTTATGTCTATTCATATAACTCAGGCTCAGAGAACTTCTGATTGTATAATATTGTAAAGGGTCTTCAAAACTATTCAATTCTTATATGTATAATTAAGCATTTATTTTGGAAAATTTTAACATTTTGAGAAACTGATTCTCTCACAATCAGGCTTTTATAAGGTTTCCCCTCCCCACCAAAAAACAACCCACAATGGCTCCAAATTTTATAAAGGAACCATTATCTTGGACTACATTTCAGAATAGTAATCATATTCTTTTCTCACTGGACTCTGTAGTTTAATGCAGAATGTGCTGTACAAATTGAAAAACTATGGCATTCGAGCAGTCTAAGCTTTAAATAGACCTAGAACATGATAGCCTGATCAAAAAAGACCCAAGAATGGAAACAACTACTGTAGCGAATACAAATTTTGGCCATTAATGGATCAGAAATAATGGCTGATGCTCCTACTTTAAGCTCATCAATATCACATAAAAAAAGAAGAGTGACAACAGACATTTGGCAAAATCTACTTATTTATCTCAAATTCTCATGGAAACTTATTTTTAATGCCTCACTCTTAAATTTCACACTTCAATCACTCGTATTTTTTAAGATTGTTCAGAAGAAATAATTCTACTTAATCTTAACCAGTAAGTTTTTCCTCTCACACATTTTTACATAAAGTTACTAAAATCACAATTCTGTGGCATTTGTTTTTAATCATATAAACATTAAATACCTAAACTTCAGTAATTATATCCTTTCTTATTCTATCTAGAATGATGTTACCAAATTGTAAGAACTCTTTTCCACAGCTTTTCTTTATAACAATCATGATTTCTGAAAAAATGCATTTCAACTCCACAGCAAATTAGCATCCATGCTTATTCCACATAGGTACTGCTAATGGTCCCTGTGGTGTCCTTTCAATAATGACAAACTCATCAGGGTTTCCAAATGCCTCATAGAAAACCAACAAATCTTGTATCGCATGCTCCTCGATCTGAAAGAAGGGTGGAAAAAAAAAAAAACAACAAGACTTGCTTTACTATTTTAGAAGGATTATATTAGCTTCCCAATTTCCTTTTGTGGAAGTACCACTTTTTGTGAATACAATGCAGCAAAACTAGGTATCCTGCTATCCCCTTGGCAAGAAGGATTAAGGCCTAAATTAGAATAATCAGATACCTACCCAGCCTTGAATTTTAATCTTGAGCAGAAAGGAAAAAAAAAACAAACAAACAAAAAAAAAAAACAAAACAACACCTGAAAATAGTTGTTGGAATCCATTCATTCCAGTAACTTCAATGAGATACTGTACAAGTCTTCTAATTCTTGCTTCTAAGCTCTCTGGGGCAACTGTGAGTCTTACCTGTTTCTAAGCCTGGTTTTCAAGTCTTTCAACTAAGTCTGAGGAATTCTAATAACCCTCTAATAGTTTCCCTTTCCCTTAAGTTTGCCAAAGTTGATATCTGTGGCTTACAACCTAAGAACACTTACTGACACAGAAGCTGGGTGTAGAACTAGATATTGCTAAATTCGTTATCGATCACTTTTAAAAATTAAAATGGTCTAGGGGCGCCTGGGTGGCGCAGTTGGTTAAGCGTCCGCCTTCAGCCAGGTCACGATCTCGCGGTCCGTGAGTTCGAGCCCCGCGTCAGGCTCTGGGCTGATGGCTCAGAGCCTGGAGCCTGTTTCTGATTCTGTGTCTCCCTCTCTCTCTGCCCCTCCCCCGTTCATGCTCTGTCTCTCTCTGTCCCAAAAATAAATAAACGTTGAAAAAAATAAAATAAAAAAAAATAAAATGGTCTAAAGTATCACCAGTGCTAAAAAAAAATGAGCTTATAATAATTGGTTCTAAATTAATTATCCTGAATACTTCAACTGATACTTATTGAGTGCCTCAGTTTAATTTTATGTTTACATTTTAATGTAATAAATATATGCCCCTTTGCAATGAAAACAAACATAATTTTAAGACATGTGGATGATATGTAATGTAGTTCTTCCCTAAATTAAGTCCATTATAGGCAACTTACTTACCTGAATCAAAGCCAAGGGTTTTTCTCGACTTCTGATAAGAGCTGCTTCCTGCTGTAGTTCTTCTTCTACAATAGATGCAAAAGTGACGGGGGCTACCATGGAAGGAGCAGTCAATGAAGAAGACAGCCAGGGACTGAAAGAATAGTAACAATGAGTTTTCATTCATCTCCCCAAATTTTAGCATATAAAATCTCCTCTCAAATACTCTTCCACATTTTTTCCCAATGACCTACAATTTAAGGGGACTTGGAAGCTTTTGCATTCTCTTTATAGAATGGTAAGGTGAGAAATAGAAGAAAGGAGAGCTAATACTTTATTTGGATCAGTGCTGCAGAGATCAGTGCTGTAGAGATAACTTTAGAAAACAGCAATAGGTGAGATGGAGCAGAAACAATATAACTAAACAGAAAGGTAACTAAAACTGTGGAGCAGACAGTAGTTAGATAATACATTCTATTCAATATCATAATACTATTCCCAATGTCTTAATATTATCTTTCAGTGCTAAGCAACAGCGTAGCTTTGAAGGCTCCAAAACTAATCAGTTAGCCTTGGGACTATCCAGAAGTGGTAAATCTGAAATATGGTTGCCTTCTAGTCCTGGAGTACCATGAGTGGAACATCTGCAAAACAAATGCCAAAACTGGAGATTAAGACCTCTAGTAATATTAGCAAAACTATTAATAGAAATAAAGAGGAAGAATTACGAATCCCTGAGTCAGGTCAGATTTCCCTTTAAAATTATAAGTAAAAAACAAAACACAAAAAAACTATACTCATAAAATCATGTGTATAAAATACCACAGAGGATGATCTTGCAAGAAATGGTCTATTTTTATAATAATATTCATATAAGCATTTACTATTATCAGACATACATTAGGAAATATAGAAAACTTTGTAAATAAAGTTCCACATTAATAGTTTATGAATAAAAGTGAAAAATTAGCACTGTTTCAAAATACATATAAACAAGATAATTAGCAGCCAAATTCTGTGAGCAACTATTATAGTAAATACTTTGATAAGCCAGGAATTAGAATATAGAGATCATATCTTATATTTCTATCCTATAAGAACTCACAAACTAAATGAGGAAAAAAACATAAAATGACATAGTATAGCAGAAAATAACTTAGTATCTAACAAGGACTATAAAAATCAAAAAAGATTTGGTTAGGGGCACCTGTGTGGCTCAGTCGGTTAAGTGTCCGACTTCAGCTCAGATCATAATCTCACAGTTGGTAAGTTTGAGCCCCACGTTGGGCTCTGTGCTGACAGCTCAGAGCCTGGAGACTGCTTTAGATTCTGTGTCTCCACCTCTCTCTTCCCCTCTCCCCACATCGTGCTCTCTCTCAAAAATAAACATTAAGAGGCGCCTGGGCGGCTCAGTCGGTTGAGCGTCCGACTTCGGCTCAGGTCATGATCTCGCCGTCCATGAGTTTGAGCCCTGCGTCGGGCTCTGTGCTGACAGCTCAGAGCCTGGAGCTGCTTCGGATTCTGTCTCCCTCTCTCTGACCCTCTCCTGTTCACGCTCTCTCAATAATAAATAAACGTTTAAAAAAAATTAAAAAATAAATAAATAAATAAACATTAAAAACATTTTTTTTTTTTTTAAAGATTTGGTTACTTGATCGGGCTTCATGGAAAAAACAGTAATGGGGTACAGGATAAGGGGGATAGGAAGTATTCCTGTAAGGGAAAAACTTAACAAAGGTACTACAGAGACTGGCCTAATTGTGGAATTTTACGGCTAGAAAGGTACCCTAGAGATTATCTGGATTTATCCAATGCTCTCTTTCAGGAATGAGCAAATGTAGGCCTAGACAGATTTAAAAGAAAGTCAGAGAATGAACAAACAGGGCCTAAAATATTGACATCCTGATTTGTTTATGCAGTTACTGGGTATGTGTAGCACTATGGTGCTGAAAATCTGACTGATTAAAACTCAGTCCCTCCCCTCAAAAGATTCTGGAGGAGAGATTTAAAAATCTATCTAAACAATGATGAAAGAACATGAGATAAAACAATTGATACCTGTACCAATATGTACTAAGTAGTATGGATTCACAGGAGAAACTGGTATACTATGGATGAGGGTATATACTGCTGTCTTCACTGAGGAAACTGCATTAAAGCTGAGGAAGGTGGCACTGACACAGGGTTTTTGGTAGTACAGATACATGGAATAGTAAAAGATTCTGGTGGCTTAAGTAAAGGTAAGTTGTTCTTTTCAATAAACAGAATGATAGGCTTAAGAGTTTGGATGCGATTAAAAGGGATATAAAGTTAATAAAATGAACCAGTAGGGCCAGAGTACAAAATGCGCTGAAAGCTAAAATGTTCAGACCTGAAGTGTGGGCAAATAAATTTACTGAGAGTATTTTCATACACATTATCTCATTTAATCTTTGTAATACTCTGTACAGAAAGCAGCATGTATTATTCCATTACACTGATTAGGAAACTTAGACTCAAAGAATATCACATAATTGCCTTATTCACAGGTTGGGTAAGTAGCAGGGACAGCTGAAAGCTGGTCTTTTTTACTCAGAGTACAGTATGTTTTCCATTATCACAAATGCCTTTTTTCTATTATTCCCCTTAGTTTAGAATACATTCCACTACAAATATCTTCTTATTCTTTAAGGATTGGCTCAAATATCACCTCCTCTCTACTCCTAAAGCATTTCAACTACTATTACAGAACTTTACACACTGTGTTATTATTATTTACACGCCTGCCTTAACTGCTCGACTAGTCTCTCAAGGTACACACTGTGCCTCATTCATGTTTGTCTCTCAGTGTCCAGCAGGACATCTGGAACACAGTCATTTGTAAAAATATAATTAGGAATAATGAACTGAATCAGAAAGCCAAAGGATTTTAAGTATGAGATAAAAACTACAAAATAAATAGAAAAAATTCTACATTCTGATGGAATAAAGAGGTACCTTAAAGACTAAATGCAAGTTCCCATGGTTAAGTTCCTGGAAAGGTTCTTAGGAAAAAAAAAAACAGTCCTAAAGTCAATAAAGTCAGTCCAAGACTGGAGATTAGAGGCCTTCTAGGGGCACTGAAGCATAGCATGGAATAAACAGATAATGACTTAAGTGGTGCTCAAAACTCCCTCTGGTATCTGGGGATCAGCTAAAAGTGTTAGACACTTGCAAAGAAATGGAAAAATATTATGTAATCAATTATTATTCAATTAAGTAAGAAGCAACAGCTACAAACTGTGAAAATGCTATGATACTGGCTAAAACAAATTGAGTATCAGGACTACACTATCTTATACAGGCCTTATTAAATCAAAGTTAGGCAAATCAGAGCTTAAGTATAACAACTCACCTGTATAACAGATTTTATAATACATAAAGTACTTTCATATACATCATCAGATATAAGCCCTATAATAAACCTGTATGACAAGCATTATTGTTCTCATTTCATGTGATAAAACTGGTTCAGGAGAGGTTCACAGAGGGCTACTATGTTAGACTGAAACTCAAATCTGTTTTATAAGATGGTAATCCCAGAAGTCTTTCCATTAATGGTTTTTCAATGGATAATCTCATTAGTTATAAATTTACCCAAACAACTGCAAGTCCATGAAAATTTCATCTTAGAATGAAGCAAAACTGTTAAACAGAGCTCTGATTAAACAGATATCAAAACATGCTAAGTTTCCAGATAATAAACACAACATTATTAAGCTTTAGGTATTTGCAAAACAGACATCTCAATAGACAATCTATAAAATTTAGCCTTTTGAAAATAAAAGCAACATTGAAAGGCTGGCTAAAATAAAATCTTCTTTCAGAGATTTTTGTTCAAAGAACGTTAATCTTGCCAAATTTAGACTTTGAGAATAAGTTACTTCTTACTCATACAGTTAAAAAAATTCTGTATTAGCTTAATTATTAAGATTTTTACGTAAGTTTAGAGCTGATGTAACAGTTTTTATCTCACAACTAGTTTTCCTAACCAAAAAGAAACACGAGATCAGTTTCTGCCCAGAATTACGTTAAGGGGGTGTTTAAGTGAAAGGAATATGAAAGAACACACAAGTAACAATAAACATAAATTACACAAACCCCTTTTCTACATTTTAAAATCCCCAAATAACATTGCCATTCCTAGATTTCTCTAGCCTCGGGGGAAAAAAAAATCACAGTTTCTACAATTAAAACAAGATGTAGGATTTGAGGAATTTCCTAAGATGAGTTCCATCATCCCTGCCATGAAAATTCCCTAAAGAATCATAGCATTTCTGCTTCTTGCCATAACACTGTTTCCTCTATTTACAGTACCCCCTCTCCTCTCTTCTTTTAAAAACCCCATCCTATGTTCAAAAGCTTGTGGCAATGCAAATAGATCAATATTTTTCTAATACTATTCATGTGGCCATACATATAATGGTCAAATATTTGGCACTGAATAAGAAAAGTGTTTATGAACTAAACACATCTCCAGCCCATGGCCATTTTTTCCCCTTCTCTGAGCCACTCATCTATCACTTAAATCATATATTGCCTTGTGACTTCATATTATTATCCTGTACTCCAATTTCATTCCTGACCTTTAATTTAACTTCCATGTAGTGCCTATACAGACTTACCAAGTAGATTTCAAATACATTTAAGGGACTAGGCCTGTATATAACACTTTTATATATACACATAATAGAGGCTAGCAGAATGTTGTTCATATATAATTTGGTGAATTAATATTTTACTTCACCTGTTTTATTATTTCCTTTTTAAAAAGCTCACTTATGGTTACACATTTTCTGTGATGAAATTAAAAAATGAAAGTCAAGCTATTTTACTTGTTAGTGATCAGATAAAACACAGTGCTCAGTGATAACTTACAGCTATTTAAAACATTAACTTCCACTTACCAAACAGTCAAGCTATGGATGGCATGACACTATTATACACTCCTTTACAATTTCCAAACCAGTGTAACAGCAGATGCCACTTTTCACAATTAAGAGCCTTGATGTTATAGCACACTCTAGTGATCAACTATGAAACCACAGATCCTCCATATTTTGAGTTCTATGACAAATAAAGACTTATCCAAAGAAAATAAAATTTCAATCTACAGCATTAATATTCAAAATGTAAAATTATTACAAAAATGAACTTAATGTTCATATCTTACAATTTATACACCTAAGGCACATAACTCACTTATTAGAAACAAATGTTACTTGAAACAGCTACAATTTTACCTCATTTATTCATCTTATTCTCACTGAGCACCTACTACATGCTAGAAAATAAGCGTTGGTAATTCAGTAAGGAGCAGCAATCAAACTTCTCTCATTGAGATGACTCTCCTCTCCTATGCTTTCATTGAATATATAGTTGGATATAAAAACATTAAAGTACTTGTAGGTGAAAACACTAAACAATGAATCACACTAATAACAACTGTGGAAAGTGTGATGAATAAGAAATGCTATGGGAACACATAGAAAACTGACGCAGGAAGGGAAGTCTGACTTCTCCGTAGAATATGACTGAATAGAGACTGAAAGAAGAATCAGAGTCAACTAGTCAAAGGGTAGGCAGGTGGCCAGAAATAAATGGCATTTGAGAAGAGAACTAGAAT